TCAACTTTGTGGCTGTGTATAGCAGAGGATTAGTTGATGCAAATAACAGGGTAATCAAAAAGCTTAGAAGGGAAAGCTGAGAAAGAGATGTTCTCAGGGGCTTTGAGAAGCTCTCATGTATTCTTCAGAATCTAAAAGGCCACACACATTCATAGAGCTGTATGCATTTCCACTACTGTGTTGATGCTTAGGGAAGGCCAGAGAAAATCCTAAGCTCTCACCCCTGGCTGACCTTGAAGTGAAGGCTAAGGCAGAGTTGTCAACTACTCAGCTGAGAATTGATGATACACCCTAACATGCACATGGAGTTCCTCAGCAATGACTAGAAGACTAATTGGTTCTAGGTATGTGTAGTAAAGAATTTAACCTTGCCCAAAGTGAGTTCTGGCCTTTGCTTTTGACTTCTGGGAGGTAATCTTTTATTCCTTGTGATGTCATGCCTGATAGGAATTTCTTGCATTGACTGAAGGCCTTGGGTCACTGGGTAGTCCATCAATATGATGTAGGGTGGGTGCTGGCCACACCAGATAGTCTTAGGGTGGGGATGGCCATGTCAAAAGACCAGCAATGTGATTTAGGGTGGGGCTTTGGGTCATATGGTGTTAGGTGACCTCCAGAATGGCTGGAGACTGCAGTTAACCATGTGGGCAATTAATCATGCCCACATGATGGAGCCCAAATAATAATTCTGATCATAAAGACTCAGGATGTCTAATTGCACATAGTAGTTGGCAAAGTGCACATACTGTTACACATCTATGGCCGGAAGGTAATGCTATCCTGACTTCACAGTGAGGGGATGACTGGAAACTCCATGATTGGTACTTTTCCTGGACTCTGCCCTATGTGTTTTTTCCTTTAGCTAATTTTAGTCTGTATTCTTTCTCTGTAATAAACTATAACCTTGAGTATAGGAGCTTTCAGTGAGTTATGTGAGTCTTTCTAGCAAAGTATCAAAACTCGAGGGTGGTTTGGGAACCCTGCCCCACCTCCGAACTTGTCAGAAGTGAGGTTGTCTTGTGTGGACAGTAACCTCTAAGTTTTTAGTGGGTCCAAATCTCATGCTTGGTGTCAGAAGTTGAATTCCCTAGAATCCTGACTCACTAGAACATGGTGTTTGAGGAAAGGTAGGATAAGAGGAGAGAGGTGGTGAACCTTTGGCTACTGTATGGTCTCAGGGTCACCCATGGTATGGAACTACAGCTGTGCTATGATAAGTTGCTAGAAGTAAAAATTACAATTGGATTTAGAAATGATAGATGCAACTCCTCTGGAGTTAGCTCACTGGTTGCATAAGGTAATACAAAGTAACAAGAAAAAAACTAAACATACAGTCGCTTGGTAATTGTTATCGGTGAGGAAAACAGCAATGGAAAACTGGCCCAAAGGGATGTCTAAATAGGGTGTGGTACCATAAAAATAGCTATGGAAATATTACTATGGTTATTAAAGAAGGATATTTAAATACTCATCAGAAGAATCTCCTTCCAGGATTGGAAGGATATTGGAACTGGCTAGTGAATATCTTGCTGCATGCACTTAAGTTGGCCATCTGGGCCCATGAAATGATTGCATATGTGGGTACTGCAGCAATGCAGAGAGTCTGGGAATCTAGGTGTAAACTTTGCACCTTCTGAGACACAAAATACCAATAAGAACTCTTCTATATGCCAAGAGGGAGATTTCCCACAGAGGGAAGTTACTTATTTTTCAGGTTACATCTACTAATACATAACACTGGTATATTAGGTTTTTGGGATGCCATAACAAGATGCCACAGAAGGGTGGTTTTAGTAACAAAAATTAATTTTCTCACTGTCCTGGAGGCTGAAAGTTCAAAATCAAAGTGTCAGCATGTTTGATTTTTACCGAGGTCTCTTTCCTTGATTCACAGATGGCCCCCTTTTTCTGTGTCCTCACATGGCCTTTCCTGTGTGCATGCACTCATTTCTTATGTTTCTTCCTCTTCTTATAAGGAGAACAGTCATATTGGATCAGGGCCCCACCTGTGGAAGCATGGCAGCCTCCACTCAGATTTCAGAGGATGTATGGAAAGGCCTGGGGGCTCAGGCAGAAAACTGCCACAGGAGCAGAGTCACCACTGAAGGCATTTACTGGAGCAATGGACAGTGGATGATAAAAATCATTGTTTTTTCCTTTTTCCAAAATTTTGATTAATAAGAAGAGAAATATTTGTATGACTAACCTGAAGTGTAGCAACCTTGGTGTACTTTTGTGCTATTGAAATGGATACACCATTGAGGATCCTGAATTGTTCCTGGCCAGACAGTAGATCGTTTGAACTGGCTATGTTCAAAAGAAAATTTATTTAGAGAGCTCTTGTCTTGAACAGCTGTCTTATAGGTACCTATGAAAAGACTTAACATAACAATTAGCCTTAAAAATGATTTTGGCAAGATTAAAGAAAAGAAATAATATTAACATTCAGGAAACTAGGTAACAAAATTTGAGCAGAGGTTGAGGTTAAAACAAAGTTTGGACCCATCACAAATTCCTTTAAATCAGAAAAAGACAGTTATAAAAATTAATTTAAAATGTTCGCTTTAAATTATTTGCATGACACTTGATCTTTTGGGGTATTTGTTCAGATTTTGACCAGTTCCTGTTGTAGTGAATTTCTATGATTTTTTGTCTTTATGTTCATTTTTTGATCCTCCTCTGTGTCTCTGACACACCAAAACACTTTCTTGGAAAAGCTTGCGTTCTTTCTCTGTGCCTTGAGATGTAAATTTGCTACCTTGCTTTAGGTGAGGTTTTGACCATGTGGTACAGATAAGCTTTAACTTGTTCCTTTTATAGGAACAATTTTTTTTTTCCTTTTTGTCTTTTTTTCGTGTCCGGCAATGGATCGCAACCCTCAGTGTCGCGCCCGTACCGGACCGGGACCGGCAACGGGATCGCAACCCTTGGTGCTGCGCCCGCACCTCGCTCAGCCAGTGAGTGGGAACCGGTCTGTATGCGGGATCCGATCCCTCGGCGGGAGAGCCGCTGCACTCCCAAGCGGTGCACTGTAGCAGTGCGCCACTGGGCCGGCCCTATAGGAACAATNAGCTGCTGCACTCCCAAGCGGTGCACTGTAGCAGTGCGCCACTGGGCCGGCCCTATAGGAACAATTTTAATCCAATTAGTGAGTTTCATATAGTATCTGCTTCATAACTAATTATTTACATGGAACTTATACAATCTTTATTTGTTTCTATGTTTTATGTATGCATGTATACATGTGTAAGCTGTATGTTGTATCCACACGTATGTTTATATCTATATATGTGTTTATATCTACATGGTACCAATTGGCTTATAAATAATGCATACTCATAAATTAAGTAAATAAGCTTAAATGCTTTTCAAGTTCACATGACTTTAGTAATCTTGGGCAAATAAAGCTAGTTTAAAAAATTTTTGGCAATATAGAAATTTTTTAGAATTTAGACTTTTTGTCTAGGTCTCTATATTGATCAAACAGTTACACTGTCTCTGCTACATGTTTTAAAATCTTAAAATTGTTGCTTCTGTGATATTTTTGATACTTGCTTAATTTGTTTATGAGCTGAAGGCTGTGAGGACTGGCTGCTGAACTTCCCTCAAAGCCTCACACACATCTTGTTATGAGTTTATGTCTTTGGTTCTGAGCCTCTGAATTCTGTTGTCTAGACAGATGGCCACGGTGAGGACTGGGGATATACGAGTCTAACACACCTGGACCACCAGCTGCAGTACAAAACTAAGTCCAGTACAGTCTCCTCATCCTTATCCCAGCTCTCCCTACTGGCCATGGTGGGAGGGACAATATCCCTTAGACATTATCTGTGTAGCTTTGTTCTTTGTCTTGACACCAGAATTGTAAATCCAGATGGGCCATACAGGGTTTCCCTGGATGCCAGGTTTTGGTGTTAGGGACCCAGGACAGCTAGGGAAAGAGTACCTAGGTTCAGTATTTCAATGACCTCAGTTAAGACTGATTAATACACATTTAGCTTTGTTTTGTTTTTTTCAAAAGAAAAGAACAATAACTTAAATGGTTAGCTTTGTTTTCCATGAGCAATTCAAATGTAATTGTTAAGAATGAGTAAATTAGACAAATGTGAATGGGATAAATATTTATAAACTTGTCCTAGTTTCAAAAAATTCTTTTCAGTTAGTTTGAAATCTTAAAGTTGTATTATGTTGAATTAAGCAATAGGTAATCATAAGTGTCCAAGTTATTTCTAAGTAAGTTAAAATACTGAAACATTAGTTATTCAATGTAGGTTTAAGTTTATATATTTTGACATTTGGCTTTATGCCATATAAAAAAAATTGAAAACATGTCTCCAGAAATTAGGAAATGGTTTTCACCTACAAATATTGATGTAAAACAGTTCAAAACTGCTTGCTTCCCAGGTTTTTCACTAAAAATGAGGGTTATTAAAAATTAAAATTGTAGTTAATATAGGTAATTAAAACTACTAGGTATGAGAAAAACAATTCTGTATACAGAGTATTATAAGAAAAGGTAGGAAGTAAGGAAAGTAGAATATGTTTTTGGTAAAAAGGTTATCAAAAAACAGGAAAATGTGGTTTTTGTAAAAGAAAAATTTTTTTATAGAAATCTTGTCTTGTGTGGACAAAACTGACTGAGATTGGATGTGTTTGTTTATAAGTTTTTATTAAAATTAGATTTAGTATTAACAGTACACTGGTACAAAAGTAAAATTTGGCTTTTTCTTTCTTTTTTTTTTTTTGTTTTTTTTCAGTGTTCAGTTTCCTTCAATGACCCCCATCTCCCTGAAGGGCAGTGCAGGCAGCTAGTCAATGGCAAGAGATGTTCACTTGAAGATCTTGCCCAGATCGAAGGGTTTGCCCACATGCTGGAAGGCCTCCTCCCAGGCAGAGTACTCTCAAATCAGTGTCTTGTTTTTTTTCAGTGTTCAGTTTCCTTCAATGACCCCCATCTCTCTGAAGGGCAGTGCAGGCAGCTAGTCAATGGCAAGAGATGTTCACTTGAAGATCTTGCCCAGATTGAAGGGTTTGCCCACATGCTGGAAGGCCTCCTCCCAGGCAGAGTACTCTCAAATCAGTGTCTGGGTCTCCTTGCTGCCAGGATCCAGTTTCTACCATATATATGATTCACAGTCCACCTGCCGGTCTGGACTCAGCGGATAGGAAAGCTCCTGGCCTTGGAAGATTCAGACTCCAAAAATGGAGCTGCTTTTGTTGGTTCCAAAGAGGATGACACTGGCAAAGGGATTCTTTCTCAGCTTGTGCAGTTGCTACGACATTCCAATGATGAAGTTGCAATTCACGAAGTTCTGGGTGAGCTCTTAAGGGAAGTGATACTAAGAGTACCACAGGGACCAGCCATCCTTATCAACGTGTTGACAAAAATATGGCAGTGCCACGGAGTGTGTGTCCTCACTCGAGTACTTGCACTTAAATGCATTCACCACAAAGGTACTCTTGGGCAGGTAAGCAAAGGGGTCCTTTGCCTCTGGCTCAGCAATCAGCACCTGCTCACATTCACCCATCTCCTCTTCAGGAGCAGGGGCAGCTGCCTTTTCTCTTCTTTCTGCTCAGCCTGGGGTTTCTGCTTCTCTTCCCATGAGCCCTTCTCTTTCCATGGGGTGTCCTTTTTAGGTTGGCTGTCTGCAAACTCTTTAGCATCAGACTGGGCCATCTTCTCACACGTCTTCACCTCCCCCAAGACATCTAAGAACTGGTTCTGGTTAATGCAGGTGAAGAACCGGCAGTTGGTATTGGGGAAGGCCTGGCAGAAAGAAGGCTCCAGGGCCTGTTTATAGAGTCACAACAGGGAGCAGACAACTGTGATGTCAGCCAGCGTCACTCGTTTACCCACCAGAAAAATCCTCATCTTCAAGTGAGCATCCAGCCACCCCAGGATTCGCCTCACCTCCTCCTCTGCATTCTCAGTGGCCTGTGTGTTGTGGTGCATGATGTCCAAGGTGGGGAACACCCACATACTGGCTGGGGGCACTGTGTCACTATCAGCAAAGCTCACCCACTGCTCCACCTGGGCTGCCGCCTCTGGAGTACTTCCGTGCAGCTCCTCATTGCTCTCATAGGAGGCAATGGCATTGCTCTCAAACACACAACATCCATTGTTACCCTCAAATGCTGGAAACTTTCCAACAGGAAATTTGCCTAGAAATTCATGGGGGCAGTTGGTTTGGCCAAAGTGGAAGTGGGGTGGTGTAGGGAGTATGTGGCCCTGAGCCCCACTGTACTGAAGAAAAGCTCCACTTTTCTTTTAAAAAAGATTTTCATGTGTTGTTGATAAAAGATGGTAAAAGATTTGTGTTCATCTTTTGAGTAAATTATAAAAAAAAAAGAGGGGAAAAAGTGAGAAACAGATTTTGTGTCTTTATTATGTCTTTGGATTACTTAGGAAAACTGAGTTAAAGAATTAAGTTCTTTTCTCTCAAAATATGTAACTTTATATTTGCACAAATGTATTATTAATATGTGTTCCAAAATTATATAAAATTTAAAAAATTCTGATATGTCTTGGTATATATTATCAGTCATAGTTATGGCTATGATGAAAAATTGTAGGCCATGGAAAGAACCAGTTTTTGTCAGATGTGTCTTTAACCATGCCACAGTAAATTACTTTATTTTGGTACAGTTTTTAAAAGGTCTTTACAAGGGCCAAACCCGTGTCTCGCTCGGGAGAGTGCGGTGCTGGGAGCGCAGCTGCACTGGGAGTGCTGAGGCCGCAGGTTTGGATCCTGTATAGGGATGGCCGGTGCACTCACTGGCTGAGTGCGGTGTGGGTGACACCAAGCCAAGGGTTCCGATCCCCTTACCGGTCACACACACAGAAATAAATAAATAAAAAATAAAAAAGGTCTTTGCAAATTCTAAAGTGTTATTTCTTCAAAGAAGTTCACAGAAAGGATAAAAAGACTCTAACAGATACTTTTAAATACAGACTTCTGCTGATGACTTTGAGATTATTCAGGTGGACTGGGTAAAAACTCTAGATCTCCAATGGAAAAACTGGACTCATAAAATTAACTTAACATCAAGCAGAACAAGAATTAATTATGTGGGACAAAACTGATAAGGGACTGAAATAATTTTTAATGATTTTTCTTTTTGAAACATTACTAATTTGTTGCATGTTTTGTTTTCAGATTTTTAAGAAATTCTCTTTTTCTTTTGGGCTACTTGGTAAAGTATTCTTTTGGGGGCAAGACTGAAACATTTCTCTCTACTTAATCCCTTCAGGATTTTGAAATTATTTATGAATATTCTTATTTTATGACAATATATTTTTTATTTTTTATTATAGCATATTCATTATTACAAATCATAATTTTTCCTTATGCCTTTTGTGCAAACTATCACTCCCAAACCCCCTTCCTCCCTTCCTCCCATCTCTAGTATCTTTAGGTTTATTCTCTCCTTCTGAAAGTTCAGCATATTGTTGTGGTCTTTTTCTTCCTCCCTTCCTCCCTTCCTCCCTTCCTCCCTTCCTCCCTCCTTCCTCCCTCCTTCCTCCCTCCTTCCTTCCTCTTTCTTTTCCTTCCTTCCTTCCTTCCTTCCTTCCTTCCTTCCTTCCTTCCTTCCTTCCTCTTTCTTTCCATCCACCCAGTTATGAGTGAGAATATGCAGTATTTCTCTTTCCTGGTCTGGCTTATTTTACTTAACATAATTTTCTCCAGACTCATCCATGTTGCTGCAAATGGCAGAATTTCATTCTTTTTTATGGTTGAGTAGTATTCCATTGTGTAAATACACCACATTTTCCTTATCCAGTTGTCTGTCAATGGACATTTAGGTTGGTTCCATATTTTGGCTGTTGTAAATAGAGCTGCAATGAACATAGGAGTGCAGGTATCCCTTTGACATGATGATTTCCATTCCTTTGGATACATACTCAGTAGTGGGATTGCTGGATCATATGTTATTTCTATCTGTAGTTGTTTGAGGAACCTCCATACAGTTTTCCATAATGGTTGTGCTAATTTACGGTCCCACCAACAGTGCGGAGGAGTTTCCCTTTCCCTGCATCCTCGCCAGCATTTAGTTTTTTTTTTTTTGTCTTTTGTCTTTTTCCGTGTCCGGCAACGGATCGCAACCCTCAGTGTTGCCCCCATACCGGACCGGGGACCAGCAACGGGATTGCAACCCTCGGCGTCGCTCCCGTGCCTCGCTCAGCCAGCGAGCGGGAACCGGTCTGTATGTGGGATCTGAACCCTCGGGCGGGAGCGCCGCCATGCTTCCCAAGCGGCGCACTATCCAGTGCGCCACCGGGCCGGCCCTAGTTCTATGTATAAGTTCAAAACAATCTGTTTTCTTTTGTAACAGAACAAAATTGGAGACACTGGTTATTTTACCAAGGCTTTGACTGAAATATCATATTTTCATATATGATCATACTACTTTAAGGAATTTGTATTGATTTCATGGAGCCCATAAAAAGCCCCTAGGAAAGACTGGCGTGATACCCTGGATAAATGATTACAGGTGTCCTAGCCTTGTGGTATGTAAAGAATTTTACTGACAGACCCAGGACCCTTGATATTTTGGGAACCTGCAGAAAATAGGAATTCACCCAACTAATGAAGGTAATCAGGGAGTGAGTCAAATCCCTGGCTTGGCTTCCTAAACCTGGAGAGGCTTTTAAAGATCTAATCTGAGATTTCTTATAAACGTCCTAGCAAAGTCAACTTTAAAAAGAGCCTATATAATAAATCATTATTCTTGCTGTATTTTATGCAGATAATCAGGCTAGAAACTAAACTTACTTTGTAAATGAATTAATCTTATGATAAATATATTTATAAAAAGGGGGACTGGAAAGAGAAAATTACACTTCAGAAGAAAACTATAGTACATATATTAGTTGATTCTACCTTTTCCATTGTTTTTGAGTTTTAATTACCTGGACTGAATCCTGACTTTTAATTTCCTCCGATATCTGGGAATGACTCTCCAGACTAGCATTTTCAGTTTTTATCTCATCTCTCTGACTTGAAATCATCAAAAATTAAAGCCACTTTTTTCCTAATGCCTTCAGGCTAAAAAAATCAACTTGATTTTGAAGAAAAATCACCACAGTAGCTCATATTTAAACAAGCTCATACACACAAACTCCAATCCAGAAAAATCTGTCAGATGATCACTGCCAGTCCACTTCAATTGAAGATGCTCTAGATACTCCAGACTCACAGACGAGCTTATAAACTGCTCCAGACGCTAATCTTTGGTTTTTTTATTTCCATGCCTCACACTGCTCCTAATCACTTCCCCATAAATTTATCACCTTCCCTATTGTGTGGAAGGTGGGTCCCAGATGCTAATCTCATGCTTTCTCAAAATGGCCCTTCTTTCTCTAATGCAAAGACACACGCTTTTCTGATTGGCTTTCCATGGCACAGGGTAAATGAACCCTATTCAGTTTGAAAACAAGACTAGGGTGGTCCCTAACTCTGAAGAGGAAGACGTGTGGCAGAAGATCAACTCTAAACCAAAATGCTTTAAGTTTTCATCAAACAATAGTTGCATATTTCCAAGTGTGAACTCCCTGGCAATTCCTAATGATGAAGGGGGATTCCTGCCTGCTGGGTTGCCTGGATAAAGCCAGATTTGATGAGCTGGTTCTCCTAAGATGAGGGCAAGAGACATAATAGACCATAAAGTTACAGAAATATTAAAATAGCCCCAGAGAAGAGCTCTGCCCCTACCATTACAAAAAGGAGGGACTGTGATATTATGCAGGACAAAGGAGCTCAGTGTTTCAAGTAAATATTGCAATTTATCTTCTCCTTTCCCACTCTTGGGGGAGAGAATTTACAAGAAATTACAAATATTTTGCTGAGAAGATGTAATGAGATGGAGAAAATTTTATTTACTGAAATTCTAAAGAGGCTGAGGAAGGCAGAAGAGCATGAGGAAGATATGAGACAAGCAAATTGGATGAGAGAGGCTGTAGTTCCCCTCTGAGGGGGCTATAAATGATGGAAAGAGTCACTTGTCAAGAGAAGTTGGCTTTGAAAGGAGACAGTGAGGGGGGTACCAACAAGATGGAAGGGGCTATGCGATATAATTCCTCCTATGACAACCTCCAGATGTTTGGTGAAGTTATTAAACTAATGAGATGATTAGCCCAAGTGGGTCATTCTAATGAATGCAAACAGGGCAGACCTGAAACATCAGGAGGGATTTAGTAATGGAGCTTTAGTAATGGTATGGGGAGGGGACTATGAGGTTCCTTATAAACTAAAGATAGAAAATGGCTTTTGACCATCCTAAGCTATAAAAGTGAATTTCAGACCAACTTTAATCAAGTCGATATCTGAGGTACATAAAGATGAACATTCCAAAAGATGCTGGACCAGAAGTCCTCCCTATCCTTGGGGTTGTTCAGTGACAAGGTTGCCTTTCATCAGTGGTTCGTGGGGGATTTCTGTGTTGGGTAGAGGCTCAAAAGGTCCCTCCCTATTCAGGCACCATGAGTCTGTAATACCATGAATCAGCCAAACCTTAAGCCGGGGAAGAGCTGATGTTCCTCTTCTCTCAGCCACTGCTACTTCTCCCCCATGGAGGAAACTCCAGACACAAACCCTCATTATGAGCCATGTATCGGAATTGAATCCCCAACTTCCCAGAACATCCAAAACAACCACTTCTCTGTCGCTTTCTTCATCCAGCCCTCATGACTCTGATTAGCAAACATCTTCCTTGGCCTTTTCTTTCTGGTTTTAATTTTACTCTGTCCAGAAGAAAACTCAATTTCTCCCTCACATGATATGTCACAGAATCTGTCTGTATCAGCTCAATTAGCATTTTATACATTCTTCAGTTCTGAACACTCCAAGTCCTGTCTTGGGGCAGTTGGAATGAGGGGAGAGAGGGGAAATGGATAGGAAAAAAGGGAAGAGTCTTTTCCCTGGACAAAGCCCTATTTGTCAACATCAATGAGTGAACTTGTAAAAAAAAAAAAAAAAAAAAAGCTCAAATTCACCAGTTATCAGAGAAACAAAAAGTAAAACAACAAGATACCATTTTTCATATATCAAATTTGCCAACCAGATTAATAATAGCCAGTACTGGCAATGCTGTGAAAAAGGGAAGCTCTCATGGACTGTCGGTGGGGATGGAACATGCACAGCCACTTTGGAATGCAATTTGACAGTATATTCATGTTGTACATATACAATGCACTTTGATCTTAAAGTTCTACTTCCAGGGATATATTTAAACAGAAGCAAAGCCATATGCATGCTCCAAAAAACATGTTTAAGAGTGTTATGGATGAAACTATTAGTTGCCTACCCACTATTGATCCCTTCCCTTTCTAATTATATAAGGTACTTCAACAAGTCCGTGGAAAGATTCGTATTACCTTTTAATTCTGTTTTTCCGGGAACTTTTGAAATACTCCTTTATATCTGGCAGTAGTGACATGCATAACTAAAGATTTTCTTTTCCCAGGCTCTCTTGTAAGAAATGGAAGGCCACTAAAATGTAAACAGAAGTCACTGGATGTGACTTGAGGAAAACTCTCCGTAACCTACCTGTGTCTGGAACTGGATGGCTAGAGTCCAGCAGTCATTTTGAGACCTTGAGAATAGAAACCACACACTGAAACAGAAAAATGTAAGAAGCCTGGGGCCCTGATGTTTCATGGAGTTACCATTCCTTCTCTACACTGCTTCTCTACAGAGCTTTTTGGACACAGGAGAAAAACAAGCCCATAATTTGTTTAGCTCACCATGATAAGGTCCTTCCCACCAGCAGCCAAGTGTGTTTCTAACTAATACAGATATTTGTTGTAGCATTGCTTTAAAATAGAGAAATAATGTAAATAGTCTAAATGTCCCTAGCTTCCACCTTCCTGAGGTTTTCCAGACCCAATTCCAGTCTCAGTACATGAGAATCCTTACATTAAACCTTCTATTTTCTTAAGGAAACTTGAACTTGGCCACAATTCAGCACATTCCTCTCAAACAACTGGAGAACTAAATTTGTAATGCAAATATTTTTATTTTTATTTTCATTAAAAATTTTTTTCTAGCCACATGCAAATTTTATTTAAGGTCATTTTACGTAAAAACTGGATTCAAAAATTAAGACCAATTTTAAGGAGTCAGGGAAATTTTAGGGAGAAGAATAGTAATTGAAGCCAAAACCTGAATTCAAGTAACTACATCAGGTAACTAACGTAAAAACTGGATTCAAAAATTAAGACCAATTTTAAGGAGTCAGGGAAATTCTAGGGAGAAGAATAGTAATTGAAGCCAAAACCTGAATTCAAGTAACTACATCAGGTAACTAATTCTACACAACTATCTTAATATGACTGAAAAATATTAATTCTGGCCATATTCAAGTATTCATCACTAAAGGGAGGATTATAATTTCATAAATTTGTGTAAAACATAAAATTATTTATCAAACATTAAAAATAAGTTATGCACTACAAATCATTGTTAATGTATAGTGTATTGCAGGAGTCAGGGGATGTTTCAAAATGACCTTGAGTTTTTTCCTGAGAGAATATTGTATGCCACAAACTAACTATGTAAGATATTTTACTCAAGTGTGCATTGTGGATATTTGTGTTTGTGGAAAAAATATACTACATATTTTCAAAACTCTTCTGCAACAGCTGAAAAAAGCAGAGAGTTTCAAGAATACTTAAAATGCCTAAAATAGTTGAAAGTAAATAGGAGAACTTCTCTGAATCAAAAGTAAATCAAGAGAAGAATCCAGAGGAGTAATCAAACAAGAGGCCAGTGCTGTCCTCAGGACACTGGCTGATCCTATGATCTGCAGACTTGCATGGGTCATTCAACCTGCCCTCAGATCCACAGCAGCAGGAAGGTCCTGGGTACCCCATTTCTCTGGGGAGGGTCTTGGGGAGAGGTTGTTGCTGTGAAGGTGCTGAGATCTTTTCTGATGCCTGAATAAGAAAATCACCATGTATGCACTTGAAAGAAGCGTAAGTCCTACCAATAAGACATCCCTGGATGTTGTGAATGTGACCATCATACTCCTGATGCTGTAGCTCATGGGGGAAAGTGAGCAGTATTTAGTGAGAATCATTAGCTTGGTATGGATGACATTGGAAGAAACCACATTGTAGAAGATCTGGTTACTACTGATAGACAAACGGAGAAACCATCAGAAGAAGACGGAGTCGATGATTACACTTGTGGATTTGGATTTAAACCTCACCAACTAGGAGGTATGGTGGGTGATGGTGACGGCCTAGAGCATACGCAGGAGGCAGGTGGTGGAGATGGAGAGGCCCTTCATCACCCTGTTCAGGCAGAACAAAACCTTATATTTGAAGTCATTCTGAAAATTTAGTAACTCAAACAGGTCTGGAGGCAGCAAGAACAAGCAGCGAGAAGCATCATTATGTGGATAAAGGCTAAGTGACCGATAATCAGGTCATGGGGTTTAAACCCACAATCCAGAAGGAGTGTAAAGACGTGAAAGGGAAGGAAGGAGGTGCTTGTGGAAATTCCAATGCCAGTTTGGGAAAGAAGGCATTTATTAATTGCAACATAGGTGAAAAGTGTGCTCATCTTAATGGCAAGTAGGAAACATATAATTACATGTATGAAAACAAAAAATTGTCTCATAGCACCAATGAACTTTCTCCATTAGGCTACATCATTACCACCATCATCATTTTTATTCCACCCAATTATTATCAATTAATACTGACTGACTCTTCCAAATTCATAAAAGTTCAGCATCAGCATTATTTTCTACACCAAATATTCCACATAAATACCCAGCGCTAAAACATCTACAACCATGCCTTGCTATTGTTCTTGTTATTTGGCTCTTAAAGTATCTGGCCACCTTCTTCAGAGTGCTTTTTAATTGTTCTGCCTTACCTACTTTGATATTGAGGAGCCAGAACAGTAATGAGCATACAAAAATTACTCAGTGGTGTTTGTATACCTGAACTGAAGTAAAGTTTATTCTAATGAGAATAGAAACACTAAATTTATTTGGTGAGGA